CAGGGCTCAGCATGGAGGGGAGGGGCGGGGAGGGGCAGGGACTGCCATTCTGTCCCATGTCGTTGTTTTGATTCACTAAAGCGAGATGATCACTAAAAAAGCAAGCTGCCCTTTGCCACTGCCCTCCTGAATTTGAGTACACCCAACCTTGGCAAAGTGGAGCGCCCCTGTCCCATGTTCAACAGTACACCTTGCGAGTTCTGGTGTGTGTGTGTGCCTGGCAGCCCCGGACGTGTACGCCGTGATGCGATGCGAGGGGAGCGCGGTGCGCTCACGCGTCTTCAGGGCCACCAGCAATCCCCAGTTCAACCTCAGAGCCATCTTCTACCGGAGGAACCCCGAGAGACACGTCAAGATCGAGGTGAGAACTGGCACACGGCCGCCGCACACTGAGCCTGTGCATGCATTGATCACGGCTTATACAGAGAGAGGCGCAGAGGTTCAGAGCATATCCTTACACTGGTATGAACAGTACATATACAGAGTGTGTAGTGTTAATTTACAGTGTATAAATAATAATTCCTTATGCTTGTGTAGCACTTTTCTGGACACTCCACTCAAAGCATTTTACACGTAATGGGAATCCCCTCCACCACCACCAGTTTGCAGCCCCACCTGGATGATGCGACGGCAGCCATAGTGCACCAGTTCGCTCCCCACACACCAGCTCTCAGTGGGGAGGAGAACTGAGTGATGAAGCCAGTTCATGGATGGGGATTATTAGAAGGCCATGATTGGTAAAGGCCAGGGGAGAAATTTGTCCATGACACTGGGGTAACACCCCTACTCTTTTCAAGGAATGCCCTGGGTTTTTTACTACAGAGAATTAGGACCTCAGTTTAACATTTCATCTGAGGGGCAGTGCCTTTTTTACAGTATAGTGTCCCCATCACTATAGTGGGGCATTAGGACCCACACAGACCGGAGGGTGAGCGCCCCCTACTGGTCTAACACCTCTGTATATACTAGGTGTATTCTCTGTAGACACTGAAATCAGACCTTGTACACGATATATGCAATATATAGAGCAAGTGCTCAGTATATTAAAAACAGTTGGCCAGTACATGCACTATTCAGTCCAGGTGCTGTGTAGAGCACTTGTACAGCAAGTACTGGAAACACAGGGTCAGTTCAGCAGTGCGCATGGCTCTGTTCAATATAAAGAGTGCAGTGGCTCCAGTGCTGGAAGTCCTGTTGCCCGGCTCTGTGTCTGACGTGTTGGGTTTGTGCCTGCTGCGTGTGTGTGGGCTACAGATCTGGGCCAGGGGCTTGCTGATGGACACGCTGTTGGGACGGGTGCGCCTCCCAGCCTGGGAAAATGAGAAGGAGAAGAGCTGGGTGATTGACCTGCAGGACGGGCAATCAAGACCCGGAGTCAGGAGTTGCATCCACGTAGATACTGCCTCCAGTGACTGCCTGACTGACCTGTGAGTGCCGCCTAGTGGCCACTGATGTGAACTGCAGCCAGGGGGACCAGAGATCAGGAAGTACAGGCCAGTACCATCGGCAGACATCCCTGGAACACTGAAGGGTTCACTGCAGGAAGAGCTAAAACTACACAGTACAGCTGACTGGTATAATGGCTAAATACGTGTAGTATGGAACATCACAGTAAGAGCACTAACAGGCAGTAAATAATGAAGGCAGGAGCTTGGATTTTTATCTTGCCCTAATCTGAAAAATGGCTGCTCTCACAGCACAGTGCCACGTCCCTCCTTACTTGTGCATTATTGCACAATCTGTAATCATAGGAGCAAGGAAGGGCAAAAGACAGGGAGCACCACCTACTACAACCATACAACCATAACCATAAGTCTACAACCATAACGACTGCAGTCTGGAGCAACCAAATTTTCCTTGCCAGTACTGAACGGACCCAGCCCTGTTGAGCAGATCCATACGTGCAGCAGGTGCAGTCCAGGTGCTTGGATTTGATCCTCAAGCCCCAGAGTCACACTTTTACAAATGGCTCCACTTCTGCCAAACCTCAAGCCTGATGAGGTGTTTCTTGGAACGGCGGAAGGTTTGGAAAGCCTTTCCAGCACAAGGGGGTTATGACACTGTAACGGACTCTGTGTAAAGAACGAACTCTGCCACAGACAGATGAGGGTATAGTGTGTGTAGTGTTTCTATGGCAGCCTGGACAAGGTGGTACAGCACACTGCAGCCAGGCTCCGCTAGGTTCTAGCGCCCTCTGCTGGCTAGAACTGCGCAGCACACTCTTCACCTCCCAGCACATCTGGATGTGCTTTCAAATGCAAGTAATTTTCGAACTCGTAAAAGTAGGATATTGTTCTTTATCTTGGACAAAGTAGCTGATTGTCAGCTTGGATGAAAACAAAGGGGTTTGTGAAGATCCTGTTGGGGGGAGAACACGTGTCTTGTTTGATTGTTTTGTTAATGCTTGTGTCTCTTAACAGGTTTTGAGCCAAAGCAGTGTTGTAACAGAACAGGAAGCACAGCCGTTGCTGTCTTTATACCAGCTGTCGCTTCATTTAGTGAATAAGTCTCTTGAAAGATCTTAAAGAGAAATGTTTTTTCTAGCTGCTGAAAAGGAAGTCATGCTTATTTAGTTTTATCAAGCTGTCCTCGTGCAAACAACAAAGCATATCCCTTTTAATTTATGCTGAAGAAATACTTTTTTAAGAAAGAGACTCATCAGGTGTTTTTTTATAAGTGTGTGCATACAATGTAAGAAACGTGTCTACGGATCCTTTGGTTTTGGGTACAGTGGAATGTACTGTATTAGGAATAATTGAAATTAAGTGCATGTCTGACTTTTGCTGTGCAAAGCCAATTAAAACATGTAAAACCCGTGGTAAATTTTCTGTACTTTATGGAAAGGTGGTGGTTCCTCAATGCACATTTTCCACATCTCATTTGAAAAAGAAAACAATGTTTGCAAGGCTTTTTAGTAGAGGGTGTTTCCAAACCTGGTCCTGGGTGTCCAGAGTGTCTGTTTAAAGCAGCGTCACCTGAAGAGCTGGGAGACGCTGGTGAATTGATCCAGTTGATCCATACTGTAAGTATGGTAAATCCCATGCCTTTTCCCTCAAATTAAAATTCAAATTTTCCAACACTAACGATGTTCTAGACCTTAGTAACTTCACTTTCTAATCCTTCTGCTTTCCGCCAACTTGCTCATAAGTCTTTTATTTGTATGGATATACAAATGGTGTGTATCCCAGACGGGGCGCCATCCGGACATGTGGGCAAGAGAATACGATAGTTTCTGCAGGCTTTCCTTCCAGCCTGCCTCTTACCAGCCTAAATCAGCTCATCATTGGTTTTTATTGGGGAAAAACATAAAGACTAATGCAAATGTAACAGATCTACAGCCACATTAGCCCTCCCAGGACCAGGACTGTCCCTTCTGTTCCAGATAGCGGAAGGATCTATTGGGAGAGTTGAACTTGGAGTTTTTCCCTCAGACGTTTTGATGAAGATGTTAAACGTTCAGAAGCACTGTCTCCAGTGTAGAGCAGCCCAAGCAGTCCTGATGGCCCAGTGTGCACAGTGACAGCTTGTTGAAGCTCCACTATCTTTATAATCCATTTGAAAGTTGAGCAAAATGACTTTAAATACGATAATAGGGCAGTAGTTTTAGCAAGGTAAACTTTCCTAAAGCATGGTGTTGTGCCTTTAGTATATGTCTTAATAATGTTAGTATTCTTATTTTTCTATGTCCAGCCTGTCAAAATAAAATCACTCTACCAAAGCATCAACCAGCAATCTCTGTCCAATATGGTTATATTGTTGAAAAATCAGAAATTGTGCCTCTTCTCTATGTCAGCTAGGTGAGCTCTGGTGCTTCTTGGTGAAACACTTTGTGTTATTAACATATTCAGCTGTCTTTACAGCTCATGTTTGTTTTTATACGGTTCAATAAAACTTGGATGAAATCTTTTGTTTAGTTTTATTAAACTAAATTTAAAATTTCAGTTTCAGCATGCGTGTCATTTATTTACCTGTATATAAAAAGCCACTTCTGTAATATCTAATGTAACATGAGCCTGATGGCTTTGCAGATGGTGTTCATCACTAGTAGAAGTGGCAGGGACAGCGGGAGCTGTAGCAGCACTAACACCAGTCTAATTCACACCAGCGTAGCAGCACAAGAGCCATTAGAGATACAGATACCAGGCCAGGTCAGGTAGCACAAGGGCAGTTGTGAAACTACAAGTAGCAGCACTGCAACAGCTTTATCAACCTTTCTAGAGTCTGTCCAGATCCAGCTGTGTGATAAGAAGTGTTACACCACTCTGCACGAACATAGTGCCACATCCTGCAGTACAGAAAGCTGTGCACACACACCCTGGAGTCCACACACACACACACACACCCTGCAAACGACGCATATGTACACTTCAACACAACCTCACACTGATAGATGCACACACTGACACAAAATGTGCAGGCACGCAGCCTCACAAATTAAGGACACACATTCTGATGTGTGGATACACAAAGCCATGCTTTGCCATTGTCAAATACACACACATTCTCTTGTCACAGACACTCATCTGACCACAAGCACTCACAGTCCAGAATGCAGCCAGACTCTAGACTCAAGAGGAGCTCCCTACTCTCCCTGACCTCTCCTGCTGCCCTCCTGTTCTCTGTTCTGTCAAAATTAAACTGCCCACTGGATTTTAGAGGATTTTAAAGAAGCTGCTGTTGACTCGTGAAAAGAAATGTGATTTGCCATGTGAGAACCTCCTCACTGTGGTCCCGGGAATTGTGGTCTTTGGTAGGACTGTCGGACTTTGTCTTCACAAACACAGTGACTCACACGCGCACCCACACTACAAAGGGCTGGACTCTCTCCCACAGCTGTCTGAAACAGCTGATGAGAACACACAAGGGGAAACAGCTGATGAAAACACAGGCTGTGGACAGAAAGGGCAGAGAAACCAGAGTCAGCAGAGAGCAGCAGTCTTCTGGGCCAGACCTGAGGCAGCACGGGTCTGCTGGGCTGCCAGGAGCACAGAAAGCCCCAGGAGGAGAGAGACCTCCACACTCTGGGAAAATTAGACGAAGGAAAGCAGCTGCTCACACACGCCGCTGAGATTCTTTGCCCAGATCACGGTGAGTTGGACGCGGCTCCTCTGTAGTTTGCAAGGCTTCTCGTGTACACAGGGGGCAGCCCTGTTGCTCTCACGCACAGGCAGGGAAGGAGGAAAAGGGTTGGACAGGCGGTTACACGCTCTTCTCTCGACAGTCTCCTCCTTCTCTGCTGAGTCAAATGCCGGGCGCTGACTCGGCCGGGGCTGAGCTTCAACCTCGAACACTGGGGAAGAGTTTCTCCGACTGCAGCCGCGGACGTCAAGCCCCACTAGCGGTGTAATTTCACTTTCTCTCTTCGTGTCCGCCTGGCGTCACCCTCTGTGGAAGCAAGCGGCAGGTAAGAAACTTGCTAACCCTTCGCCAAAAGAAAAAAACAAACAGACACAGACGAGCTTGTATATCGGGGGGTGATTCTGTGTGATAACACCCTCCCCCCGGAAAAAAACAGCCCGAGTTCGTTTGTATAAGCCCGCGTTTTGTTGTCAATACTGGCGTTGTTATTTTGGCATGTTTCGGATAACAAAATAATGAACCTAACAATAATAAATACCGTAGAAAAGGATGTTATTACTTTGTATACATAAACTAAAAAAATAACACTGGTGTCTGGTAGGAGTTGGCTTGCATTATAATAACATATAGTAATACTGCAGTTTGAACAGTTTGAGGTCAGAAACGCGTTAAAGTTCGGGGCCCTCGGTCTCAGCGACTGAGCAGAGTTCCTAGTCGGTGTTGGGCTGTCCGGGCGGGTCCGAAAGGAATAACAAACAAGCTCAGGCAATAATGACGACTAAGTGCAGACCACTTTGGTTTTTACCTACCAAAGCGACAGCGCTATTCGGTAATGGATTCAAAGTCCAGGCGCTCTGTTTTTGCACAGACGCCGACTCCTCGAATCAGCCCGTTGCGAAACGAAAACAAACGAAAGACGGGTTTCCAATTGAACGTTGCACGTACATAACCCCGTGGTCGCACGCCAGTAAATTAAATAAACCCGACATTGCTGCAAACACGCCAGAACGTGCCTTTTGGGCGTTTTGAAAATCGAGTCTGTTTTACTTTCTCCGCGATCATCAATCCTGTACAGACGGAAGCGGTTCGGAGGCTTCGCCTCCTCGCAGACCTCACAGTTTTCATGCCGCTAGCAGTCAACTATGATGAAGCCGATAAGGACGAAGATTTCAAGCCCGACAAG